ATATATGCATCCGAGATCCTAAATGTACAGGCGTTTCCTTAGCTATTGTTCAATGAATTTAAATCTTCATCAGTAATAAATCTGTCTGTTAAATCACGTATCAACTTACCAGTAGCCCCACACATGTTGGACATCCCGGCCAGAAAAAATCGCCAAGCTTGTTCGTGCTCCAGCCCCATACTGGCCATAGTAAACCCGACACCCAAACAACACACAGAAGGGAAAGTCTTCACGCATTGATGCCTTCCTTTTTCATGGTTTAAAGCGTTTAAAAAGTCAGTGTATATGTACTGATAAATCCAACAGCATATACATGCTTGTGCATATAAGTGTAATGTTGATATGGATCCGAAGGATGTATTGTTAATCCGGTAGATATATATTACATGATTACCCACGTGATCGATAGTTTCTATGGTAATTTAACTTACGGGGTTATGATATAACTGGGGCTTAGTCGCTAAAAGGAGTCGTCACGCTTCAATGTTTTCTAAATGATATACATATTTTGTATAAACATATACAATGTATTTGTATTTAACATTTGTTATATAGACAGACTTTGAGCTCTTGGTGGTAAAAAAAAATCCCTTTCATAAAACACAAAAATTCACAAAATATGAATTTATTTAATTCAACTATGAAACAAAAGGACTTTCTTGGTGAAATGGTCACCTCTATAAAGCACGGTTTCCCCTACCCTGTACTCTATATATCTGTGCATCGTTTAATACAGGTGCATGCACCATTTGACTCACAATAAATTCAAATTTAAAGCATTTAATTGTTGATTTTGAATTAGTCTTTTGTAACAAAAAATGTGCCATGCTTTGATTGCGTAAAGAAAATGCTGTGACTGTTTCAAAAAATCCTGACGGTCTACTTATTATCAATTTAAAAAAAGAATTCAAACTATCGCTGACAATATAATTTTAAATTAGGCCTAAAAGATAAAATGAAATAAAAAGATTAGTTTTGCCGATGGAATTTTTTTTCCAATGAGGAATGTGTTCTACCATACATTTAATTTATTGATGAATAAATAAATATTGGATAATATAATACATTTTTTCTTTACCCTCGTCGAACCTGGTTTTATTCTAAAACCACATGTATGGGGAAATACTACACAGCGGATTAAAAAAATAAAAATATCCCTCTTCCTCAATTTTAAAAATAATCGTAACAACAATATTTAGATCTTATAGACTAAGTGGAGTAGAAATCGATTATAATAAAACCTAATAAAAGTTATAAAACTAATTGATTAATAAAGAAAATTCCGTAAAATATGAGCTCATGGATTGGTATTTTTCTTTAATTATTTGATTGATTAAATATTTCTTTAAAAATATAAAAGTTCATGGACTATTAATTTATTTTTTTTTTTTTTTTACTTTTGAAAATATCGATGAGGACGTTTCCAACCCTCGATGGAGTATAAACTACTATATACAAAAATTCTTTTTGAATTTTTGAGCGTAGCAATAAAAATGGAATAAAAATATTTATTAAAAATGTTTTTTTTTTTCTTTGGGGGGGGGGGGCCTTTTGTTCATGTTAAATTACAAAAAAATCCTTCACCTTATATCTGTTTACCTGATGAAATTTTCATTTCCACAGAAATATGAAGGAAACTGTTGTGAATATTTTAAAAAAATTTTAAGACAGTTTCTTGTTAGAAAACTTTTGAAGATTTTTATCATGCACTGTCACCACTAATTGAAACAACAATTATAGCGGAAAGAGCAAGGTAGCTATATACTTCTGTACAAATACATTTATTTTCCCCCTTTTCTTCTAGAACCGTGCTCGAATTTGCCAGGAAGTTACCAATATAGGTCCAAGTTGCTAAGTAATATGTATATCCTTTAATCTTTCATGCCTACGAGACACGGACAACAGCAAAAAAATCTCCAGACAGGTTTAGTTACTTGTTTAGGTTTTCAAAAACTGCAAACAAACTTCATAGTTCTGATGATGGGGATAGATTTTTAAATAATAAGATCATGACCCGCTCATTCATACAATCAGGAATTTCTAAATATTCCAGTAAGTGATTCACTTAATCGTGAACAATTTCCTATCTTCACAGTTACGAAGACTTAAAAAAAAATTAGACGCGGGTTAGAAAAACGCACAAAGATGCGGTTATATGTTCCAAGTCAGATAATTTAAAATAAATAATCTAAAATAAGGAAGAGAAATTGAAACAGAAAATAATAATCATTTCACTGAATTTAATTTACAAGTACATGCATATCAAACAAGAGGCCCATGGGCCACATCGCTCAGCTGAGCAGTGAAGCTTAGAAAAAAGCAGAAATCAGTTTATTATTGAATAATTTAATTCTGGTTGTATTCTTGTCTCTCATTGGTTGATTTCCCAAAAAGGAACGCATAACATTTTGTATAATCTGGTTTGGTAACACAACAACCAGCTGAATCATCTGTATCCATCAATCCTCTCATTTCCAGTTCTTCGCGGATTATAAAGCGTAAACTGACCCAAACCATATTATACTCGATAATCTGGCCAAGAATTAGAGTCATTCCTTAAAAAGTTTAAACCCAAAAGTGGTACAAATCCTTAAAGAGGAGAGGGTATGATTTGAACAAACTTGAAACTACACTAACTAAGGATGCTTGCATATTTCTTTGACTACCTGTGGCTTTATTGCCCTTTACATTTGAACTTACACTTTTGCCCCACCATACCCCCAGGGGTCATAGCTTGAACAAACTTGAATCTACACTACCTAAGGATGCTTCCATATAAATATGACAAATCATGGGTTTGCTATTCTTGAGAAGAAGATTTTTATTAAAGAATTCTCCTATATATTTCTATGTAAAACTGTGATCGGCCATTGTAGACCCGCCCTACCTCCGGGGGTCATGATTTGTACAAACCTGAATCTACACTACCTGAGGATGCTTCCATAAAAATATTATCATTCATGTCTTTGATATTCTTGATAAGAAGATTTTAAAAGAATTTCCTATATATTTCTATGTAAAACTTTTGATCGACCATTGTGGCCCCGCCCTTACTCCGGGGGGGGGGGGGGGGTCATGATTTGAACAAACTTAAATTTACACTACCTGAGGATGCTTCCCTATAAGTTTCATATTTCCTGGCAGTGGTTCTTGAGAAGTAGATTTTTAAAACATACCACCAAATTTTCACTATTTCTGAATTATCTCCCCTTGAATATGGGCGTGGCCCTTCATTTGAATAAACTTGAATTTCCTTCAACCAAGAACACTTTGTGCAAAGTTTGGTTGAAATTGGCCCAGTGGTTCTTGAGAAGAAGATGAAAATGTGAAAAGTTTACGACAACGACAACAACGACGACAGACAACGGACAAATTTTGATCAGAAAAGCTCTCTTGAGCCTTCGGCTTAGGTGAGCCAAAAACTGCATGAACCAAAAATATGTTATAAACAAGATGTGTGTGTGTAAAACACTATGCGCCCGGCGGCAACAAAGTTCTAAAAAGTTTTAGTAAATGGGTCTCAGTCAAGGTCACACGATTATTGTTCTTGGTGTCAGTTAAAAGTGCTTAATTAGTTGATAATACAAGTGTATATACCAAATATGAAGTCTCTATCCCTCGCGGTTCAAAAGTTATGGCGAAAATTCGAAAAAGCTAATTTTAGCATAAAGGTCACAGTCAAGGTCACAAGGTCATTGACCTTGGTGTCAGTTGAAAGTGCTTAATTAGTAGAGTATGCGTACTAAATATGAAGTCTCTATCCCTCATGGTTCAAAAGTTATGGCGAAGGTTAAAGTTGACAACAGACAGACAATCTGCTAAACAGACAGACAGACAGGACAAAAACAATATGCACCCCGAATAAATTCGAGCGCATAAAAAATATAATAATTTAAACAAGAAGCCCACTACGGTTAACCGAGTAAATATACCTTTGTTCTGACTAGAAAATTCTTTTCCTATACTATAGTATATATACATGTAATAAATAGAAACGCAATGAAACCCGTATATAACCCGTATATAATTTTCACCCTAAAATTAGAGTGTGGCGTTTCTATTGATTGAGAGTATAGATTTAATATTATATTTCTATGTAAAACTTTGATTGACCAGTATAACCCCACCCTACCCTTGGGATCATGTTTTGATAAACTTGATTTTACACTACCTGATGTATCCGTATAGTAATGACTATATAATCAAGACTTTCCTGTTTTGAAAAAGATTTTTGTATGTATTCCTAATCTCTTTCTGGCTCCACCATTTACTCCCGGAGAGTAATGATTCGAAAAAGAAAAATTGAAAATAACCGGTACACAACCGAGGATGATTTTCTATAGATATGACTGGTCTTAACTTTGTTGTTTTTGAGAAGAATTTTAAAGATGTTTCCTGTGTATATCTATTTGTAAAACTTTTATTCACCCATCATAGGCGTCGAAACCGGAGAGGGGGTGGGGCTTAGCTTTTTAGCAAAGATAGACATTTTCTATGCACTGAAAATTGGGGTTTACTTTTTTTTGTTGGTTTAGCCCCCCGCCCCCCACTTTCAATTTGCTTCCGACGCCTATGCTCATGGTGGCCCGGCCCTACCCCTGGGGGTCATGAGGTTATTTTTGATATACCATCCATTTTTTAAAAATTATGTCTTAACAATTTTACCATAGAAAAGGACGCAGCCTTTTATTTGAACAAACTTGAACTTTCTCTATGCAATAAAGAATAATTTGTGCCAAGTTTGGTTAAATTTGACACAGAAGAAGATGAAACAGTAAAAAAAATTACGACGACAAAAACAATGGACAAATTTTGATCAGAAAAACTTTCGGCTCCGGTGAGCTAAAAATGTACACACCTGTACATTTGGAATTCTTATTTGAACACAGCACTTACATAATTATACTTCTGACAAAAAAAACTTAGAAAGAATCAGAAGTTTCAACTCTACATCTCAGTTAAACAAAGTTCAGCTCGACATCAGAGGAAATGGTTTAAAACATGCCCTTATGCTACATACATTCATACATATTGTTCCACAAAATTCTCTTACATGTATCCATGACTGTCAATTTTGTCTGCAAAATTAATCCTAAGCATTTCTTGTATAATATCTTCATCGTATATCGAGTCACCGGAAGTTGCCTCACTTTGACCGGAACTTAATTCCTTCACGTGACTTATTCTACTGTCAGGAGTAATTACTGAATCCGATGATTTTGGAGCGATTTGTTTCTTGGATACACAGAGGGATGACTCTGGTACTATAGATTCGCCCTCAGTATGAGAGGATGACTCTGGTACTATAGATTCGCCCTCAGTATGAGAGGATGACTCTGGTACTATAGATTCACCCTCAGTATGAAAGGATGACTCTGGTACTATAGATTCGCCCTCAGTATGAGAGGATGACTCTGGTACTCTAGATTCGCTCTCAGTTTCCGAACTTCTTGGGATCACCGTCCGTCTTCTCCGCCAAAGAGTCAAACTGATGACGACAAAAATTAAAGAGCAGACGACAGCTGATACAGCTGAAATAATGACGATGTTCCACTTCCTGTGCACGTCATGCTTGGCCAGAGCTGTTTATGGATAAAAATTTTAGACCAATAATACACAATGAGTCAGCCAAAGATATGCAGATGGTTAAAATAGTACTAAATTAATTTGATGTTTATTTAAAGAACACAAAATAGCAAATTTCATGTTCCATGACATATATTCTTCTTAAGTCATTGTTTTCAACTTAAATGAATTGTTGTCTTTATACAATGAAATACATACATGTTTTAATCTTAACAGGACTGCTTCTGTTTTGCCATGTCACCAAAGGACTTGTTGTAATGTAGTCTGAAAGCATTTGATGGTTATTTAAAGAATAAAAAATAGCAATTTTCATGTTCCATGACATATATATTCTTCTTAAGTCATTGTTTTCAACTTAAATGAATTGTTTTCTTTAAACAATGAAGTTACATACATGTTTTAATCTTACCAGGATTGCTTCTGTTTTGCCATGTCACCAAAGGACTTATTGTAGTGTAGTCTGAAAGCAAACGTACACAAAAAAACTTAACTTCAGAATTCAGTATTCAATTTATTGCACTTTTTCAGTCTTATTTATATTACATTGAATTAACTTTGAAAGTCCATAAAACAATAATAAATAGAAGCAAAGCAAACACAGACCTCCAAAACATCAGAGGTGTGGTCAGGTGCCACGGAGGAGTGCGCATCCCCTGCCGACCGAAAAAACAAAATCTTCATGTAACTTACACTTACCGAATGTGTTAGTTTCTGCGGAATATGGCTGAAGGGTTGACCAACATTCTTTGAGGTTATTGTCACCGTCTTCTGGAGAGGGTAGACTTCTTATGTAGAAATCCAACGTCTCTTTTCGAACACGTGTGTAGTTACAAAGCACACTGAACACTCCTCTCTGAAAAAATTGCTTCATCGTAATTCATTTATCAATTTTTTGTGTAATCAATATAAGTCGAGGTGGAAATTTACAACATTTGTCAGCAAAGGGTGATGATCCGCTCCTTTTCCCCTTTTCATGAAGAACGGGCGCGGATCACCAACCTTGGTAAGTTACTTACCCTGATTGTGTTAAATAAGGTTTCATTCTTGAAGAATCTGGCGTTCTCTGTCAGATCGACGTGGTAGCTAACTTTCGGGTAGGTGTAGGTGGGATCAGAGCTCCTAACATACACTAGAAACCCTTGCAGAAAACCAACTGAACCTGTAATGCATTATTTAAGCCATTTTATATTATCGAAATACTAATTTCAAATTTCTTATGGCAGGAGACCAAAAGTGGAAAGAATTATACCTACATCAGACTTACCATCTGCTGGCCCTGACCACGTGACGTTCAACAAAATGGCGGAATCATTTCGCTGTTGAACCGCTGTGATATTGTGACATATTGGGGAAGAGGGTATGGACTTTTGTGTGAAATGTTTATCTGTGAAAGTTAATTAAAATAGAGAATGGTAGACATGTTAGTGTATTAAATTCGAATGCAGTTTTCAAACGTAAGGATTTGATAAGAAGTAGAAATGACGTACCATAAAAAGGTTCCACCATATGAAACCCGCAGATCAGATTCCTCTATATATATTAAAAATAAATTGAGTTTACTTGTATGCCAATGTTCGTAAATGCAATTGTAATAAATTTTTAAATAAACTTTGCCTATTTAATAAGAAATAATATTAAAAAGTGCACCTGCACAATTCTTTATAACCTTCACAGGACCTCGAATCATGTCATAACTTAAGATTTTTGACGCAAAAATTTCTTTAAAGTGTTCGGCAATTTTTGTGTCAAAAAGTATGTGTTGCAATTACAAGGTTTTAAGGACAGATGATACAAACAATTTTTTCTTTGGAGGAGACTGAATATCATGTAACAAGTTCACAAAAGTGGATAATTCTTAGAATCTGTTCTCCATAAGAACTGGAAAATGAAGTAAACTTGGAAAATATTAGTAATATTTCAATGAAATTACAAATATGGACAAATTAAACACTCGGTAAAGGTTTACAGAAGAAAACAAATTTCAGAATTTGTTACATTGGTGCTAAAAGTATAAAATAAACTTTAAAAATACACCAAACCAGGTGAATTTTATGAGGAAATACAAAATGACCAAAAAAATCAGCATTCCATTTGTGTATCACAAACTGGAGGATGATAATTAGATTGATTTCTTATTTTAATGATTTTGGTCACAGTATTCAGACTTCAGCCAGGCAAATGTTGTGCAATTTATAAGATGATGATAAAAGATTTCCCCCTAATCAATAACTGTTGGTTTTTTTCTGATAGTTTTGTTTAAATATGGAGCCTTATGTGCCAGCCGGCACGAAGAGGATAGTAGAGGTTTGTTTAAATAAATTTTGTTGATAGCTTGTTTTCAGGGTTGTTTAGTTTGTGTATTATGTTTTTCTTATAGGTGTTACGTACATCCAGTAGTATTACATTATTAAATATTGCTAATTTCAGTGATTTTTATGATTTTGAATGTATCCAGACACACCTAGAAAAAATGCAATTCACAAAATCACCATCCTGAAACCAAGCGTCTATGGTTCAGAGAAGAAGCTGAAAATGTTGGAAAGGTTCAGGCTAATGGACGACGCACAGTAGGTCAAAAACAGATACAGTAGTAGATGATTACCTTAGTGAATTAGGTGACCTAAACATTTACAATTTCGTTGAAAAAAACATATTTCCCTTTTTTTAGGAGAAAATCGAAGAACTATAACATTTTTTTAAAACTTAATTTAAATCAAAAGGTTGTTACCATTGTGAAACAATCTCTGTTCGCAGAGCAAGAGAGATCGGAAGCACTAGTCCGAAATAAAACGTAATAAAACATCCAACGGAGAAAGAATACCATGATATCCAAAGTTATCCCATACCACAGTAAAACATAATATTATAGTATCCAATGAATAGAAATGCATGCACCATGATACCCGGTATTCCCATGAAATCAAATTAGTTATCAGATAGCACTATAAAACAATAGGGAAAACAATAAACGTTAACTAAAATAGCCACCTCGTCGTGTAAACCGTTTCAATTATCAATACCTGAACAAGGTGGAGACTAGAAACTGATAATTATCATTTTTATCATATATCAATATTTATCTTTTTACATCTGATGTATTATACATACATGTATTTCACTTTTTATGCCCCCCCCCTCTTTTCGAAGAAGGGAGATTATATTGTTTTGTTGTTGTCTGCCGGTCTGTCTGTCGATCCAACATCAGTTTCCATTCATTTTCTTCAAAGAGTTTGCACATACTGAAATGAAATTGGGCATACATATTTATCACAAAAATATCTAGGTCAAGTTATATTTTGTCCAATGGGGGCATTATTGTTTCGCATTTTGTTTTATTTGATTTAAATCTTTACTTTTATCTTTACTTCCCTACCAGGACTTCAGGTCTCCTCTCCGTCTGTCTGTCTGTTCCTCATTCATCAGATTTTAGTTTTTAAAAACCTTTCTTTATACTTTTTTGCATGCAGAAAAGAAATTTAGTGATAAAATATAGGACAATCTTCATTTTTACCTCTGCAACAATTGCGCATGATGCCGGATTTGGCCTTTGGTAAATTATAACAAGATCCCGTTATCCATCATTTTGCAAAACTACAAAAGTAAAAAAATAAAACAGCTTTATATACACACTGTAAGTATGATGGTGGTCAGACCCCATGATCATGAAACAGTTAAGCTCTCATGGTTTTTCGCACAAATTAAGGTCACATCATTATTTGCACTAAAATGAACATTGCCGACCTTCAATACGAGACATAGCTCTAATATGAATTTAATATCTCATGTTAAAGGTACATATTCTTTAGATTAATTATCAAAAAGTTCAAAATCGAGTTTAAATGGGACTTCATTTATAAATGATAGGATATTACATCTGTATGATTTCACCATAGGTATTTACAATTAATAATCTTTCTTTCTTTGATACTATTGAGTTGAATTTTTCAAATTGACATCTTAAGGTAAGATTCTTCTTTGGTTTCTGACTAGATTTATATTCAAAGTACATTTGTTGATATGTCTTGTATATTTAGATGTAAGAGATTTAAAAGACCATATTTTTCTTTTCTTCACAATTATACAACTTTAAATAGAAATGGTAAACTACGTTTAACACATTGCATATATTTTTGGCGGAATGGTGGCAATAAAATATCTTCTTTTATGCCTCTCAAAATTATTATAGAACATTGAATTAAGTTATAATTTTTACGCTATCAAAGACTACACGGAATTTTCAAATGTAAGTTAAATTAATAATAAGGGACTAAAGTTTCAAAATATATCAAATAAATAAGATTTTTTACACATGCTAGAACTATGTTGGTTTTTAAAAAATCTAAATTGGCAAAAATCCATAAAAGGTGTTATTTCTCTCTTAGTAAACGATCAAAACTTTTATTTTTTGTATCATTTTATACCTTTATGTGACAACGTTATTATATGTGAAAATTAGAAAAAGTAAAATTATCCATGTCAATTTGGTAATATCATCTTATAGGCCCTATATGGTATTATCTCTTTATGCAAAAAGAAAAACATTTAATCCTTTGAATTAGAAATAGGGATCGCATGCTTGGAAACAGTATTTTTTATTCTTAATGTCCAGGAAAAAGGTAATGACCTTGACCTGACCTTGCCTCTAATATTAAACGGTCAAATTTAATCTCACTGATACCATCACTTAGTGATATTGTCCTGTGAAAATTTCATTAATTTTTAAATACAAGAAATGTGAGAAGAATCCTACCCGAAGTACTTTGCACATTTTCTATACTCGTCGTAGTTTTGTCGAAATATAGCGCCGAAAAATGACAATGCTGCAGAAAGAAATCATGCCATAAGACAGAATAAAAAGTATCATTCATCTTTTGAAATAGTAAATTGTTACCATTGAAAAGAAAATTCTTTTACATTTACGGTCTTAAACTTTAGAATTTTGCGGCTGGATGTATCTTTTTTGATGCTAGATTCAGAAAGTAACCCAACAAAATATCAGCTTTTTAACATGAAAACCAGTTGAACAAATGAGAAATACTATTATCATTCTGCGCTTTATAGAGTCATGTTATTGTACAGAAAATAAAAGTTACATGATTTGCACTGTTTGTGAGTCAATGCAAGGCAAGGAACGGGTACATGGATGGCTACATTTGACGAGAAACCACGACAAACCATTTGGGAACTATCACAATCCATCAGTCAAGAGTATAGTAAAATCCTACCAGTATTTATTTGTGAATTATGTTTTATGTAAGTTAAATAAATTTAAAAGTAAGTTAGAAATCACTTTTAAAATATATTTTGTTGCCTGTTTACACAATTTTGCATAAAAACAATGTGACGTTAATTTGCGCGAAAAACCATGTGAGCTTAAAAAGTGCGTTGAGCTGTATACATAAGGTAGCATTCTTCTCATACAAAAATGTATTTATTGTGTTTAAAAATTAATTAAATTTTCACAGAATCAAGAAGACGATATCACTAAGTAATTGTATCACTTAGATTATTTTTGACCGTTTAATTAGAGACAAGATCAGGTCAAGGTCATTACCTTTTCCCTGCACATTAAGAATAAAAAATACTACATCTAATCATGCAATACCTTCTTTTATTACAAAAGATTTTTTAAAATGTGTTTCTTTTGCATGAAAAGATATAGGGTTTATAAGATGATATTTAATGCCAAATTGACATAAATAGTTAAATAAAAATAGGTTTTGGCTAATCCGATTTTTCCCTTTTTACCTAAATTTTTAGGATATATTATTTTTATATGTGTCCTATACTCAATTTTTTCTTATCTTCACACATGGTAAAGAAGTCATATTAAAATACAAAATTATACAAAAACAAAGTTTTGATTATTTACTAAGAGAGAAAAAACACTTTTCACGGATTTTTGGCTCATATCTGTTTTTAGATTGGAAGCTAACACAATTGTAATTGTAGTCTGTTTGGAAAATCATATTTATCTGATATATTTTAAAACTTTAACGCTTATTATTAATTTAACTTATATTTGAAAAATTCTCCAAGCCTTCGATTGTGTAAAAATTATAACTAAATTCATTATTCTATAATAAATTTTAGAATCAGAAAAGAAGATATTTTCATACGCCACCATTCCGCCAAAAATATAGACCCTACTACATTTCACACTCAGTTTACCATATCTATTCAAAGTTGTAAAATTGTGATGAGAAAAGAAAAATATGATCTTTAAAATCTCTTACATCTAAATATATGAGATATAAGCAAATATACATTAAATATTTCATCTAGTCAGAAACTAGAAAAGAATCCTACCTGAAGTCAATTTTTCCATTGTCTGTAAAAGTGTTGATTTTTTTTACTTATTACTTAATATCTAAATTTGCAGATAATTTTCTTTAATTATTTCAACTTTGTACTTCTTGACTTATGTACAATTTAAGTACAACAAGAAAATTTAAACTTTTCATGATCTTGGAGTCAGGAATCCATCTCCCTTATCTGAGACCAGAATGTACCCTGTTAAACAGGAAATTATGTTGTTTTTTTTTTCATTTCACTCACTTCTTCCTAATTCCTCAAATATTTAAGTCCTGATTTTCTTGTGTGGGTTTCCCCGGGAATTTCGTTCATCTTAGTATCCAATCCAAAAAAAACCCCCAATATTTATAAGAGATTCAGGTAGATTCAAGTAATTATTACAGCCTAACACTTAAACTCTAGATAGTTATATATTTATATCATGTGTCAAGAATGCATCTTTAAAACAATCATATTTGTATATCAATGTTTTTTTTCTTCTTTTTTTTCATATGTATAGACATTGACAGTTGAAGCTATTTATGGTGAGAACCTTGTTAGTTGTTTGAACTTGTGTTCAAACCATTTGTATATAATTTATACAATAAAATATATTCAAACCAAACACCAAAATAAGTCATAGGAATTAATGCTTGAGTTTTACTTTTTGTGAATTCAAGAACTCGATCTGCAATTCTGCACAATAATTTTTTTTTAAATTATTTTTTTTTTAATTATTGATTTTTGCCATGCAAAAGGAATACTAGACTCGACGAGCGTCGTTGATCACACGAAAAATTAAAATATTATACGTAAGGGAGTAGAAATATATTGATTGAATGTCAATATATAGACACATAAAAAGTGTAGTTTTTTCTCTCTATACATGTACATACTTTCTGGAAGTATAGAATGTAAAGAGTGTGTTAAGTAAATATTAAAAAAGATACAAAGTCAAATTTTGTTTCCTAGTCATTAAAATAAGTTAAATCGTAATTCTGCTTTCAGCTTGGTCTCTCTCTCTCTCTCTCTCTCTCTCTCTCTCTCTCTCTCTCTCTCTCTCTCTCTCTCTCTCTCTCTCTCTCTCTCTCTCTCTCTCTCTCTCTCACATAATTAAGACACTTGATTGACTTAGACGTATTTATCAATACTTTAATTCTACTACAATCAGGACCCAAGCTGGTTTTGTTTGTATTATATTTTTTCACGCCTACTATCGGTACCTCATGTACATACCAGACACAGGTGCTTGACATTTTTAACCTTTCTTTTCATATTAAATCTTTTTAAAAACATTGTACATTTATTTCAAAAATATTTGAAAATGTCTGTCCTTCTTAATTGTTCTCTTGGTGTTTTCTCTATGCATTGAATACATTCTGTTATTTCTTTATGTAAAGCGTATATCCTCTCTAAATGCATGCAGTTGTAAAATATTAATTTATGTTATATACTCAGTAAATATGTATATTTGTATTATATACATGTACCTCTGACGATTTAAAAGACATTGTTTATACTTAATGTTCCCCATGTACCATGTTGTATGGTTTGATTCTGATTCAAAAAAAATATCCCCTATACTATATAATGATAAGAAAGGTT